TCAAATAGCCTGAATCTGATCTGCCTCTGAGCCTAAACGCTTCATGGATCGGTACCTTTATCAAATAAAAACTCTATTTATTAAGGTGCAATTTCAGAATTTTATAAATGAATAAGTTCAGATTCATTAGAAAATTCAGTTCTAAAATTAGAAGCATGGAAGGAGGATTTAGGGATAAATTTGTCATTGGAGGAGTGGCAGTTTTTCTGCACTAAGGCTCATAAACAAACAATTAATTCACGCTTAAGGCTGCTACAGTTTAAGTGGTTAATGCGAGTTTATGTTACACCAGTTAAATTAAACAGGTATAATTTTAATATACCAGACACATGCACAAAATGCTCTGATGAAAAGGGAACACTGGTTCATTGCTTCTGGGAATGCAGGGCAATTAAGATTTTTAGAAGAGAAGTAAAGCAAACTACAGAACAACTTGTTTCAAAAGAAACTTGTTTATACGGTACGTATAATTGTTGAAAATAATAAAAATATTGATGGAAAACTCTTTTTATTAAAGAAAAAACGTTGTAAAATACACTCAGATGAGCAGATAACAGAGGTTATGTAGGGGCTTTTGGCCTTGTAGCATCCGCTCATTCTGGGGGATTTTTGGCCAAAACATGGCCGACTTTTCCAGTTTGACCAATGACGACAGGCTGGGCACGTGCACGCCACGTGCACAACACGTGCACAACACGTGCACGCCCCTCCTGAGCCTCACAGCTCGGTCTGAAGACAGAATCCAAACCCGAGGAGCTGCAGAGGACCTGGGATCCGTTTGGGGATCTCACTGTGGAACGGAGGATTTGTCTTTCCAAAATGGCCGCCACACCATCGGCCAATAGAGAAAGAGAAGGACGTATCATGGCGTCCTTCTTCTATTGAGGCCTGGTCATCTTTTGTTTTTATTTTAGATCCTCCGTCTGCTCCAAAATAATATGAAAATAAATAAATTGTTTCTCCGTTTAGAGAATCTGAACGCAGAAATATCCAGAACTGGGAGGAATCCCACTCTGTCCAGGGACAGTAAACGCATCATGACATCATGGGAGAGACTGTTTTTGGTCTGTTTTCTACTTTTTATTTTATTTCTGTGCATTTCTTATC